TTTGACTTTACTATAGAGTAACTACTGATAATTATATAAATAGCTTATTTTTAGATCTAAGAAATTTTTATGTTTTTTTCTAAAAAAAAAATAACTTATTATTGAAAATAATAGTATATAATATATATATATACTATATATATATAATTTATTGAATTTGAATATATTCATGAACTTTTGAACTAAACTTGAACTGAACCTAAACTTGACTTAAAAATTCAATATTAAACTTGAATTTAACTTTTTTTAAAAAAAGTTCAAGTTCAAGTTCAGTTCAATATTGAACTGAACTTGAACTTGACTAAAAGTTCAGTTCAGTTCAGTTCATAAGAACACTACCAGAAGGTATAGACTGTGTTTGATGACTTAAGCTATATGTTTCTTCCAAGTTTGTTTTAAAACTATACTAACTTCTAAGCTTTTCTTTTTGTTTTTATTTGCTGATATCTAATAGCTGCTATAGCTATTATTTTCTTCTGTGATGTATCTTCCTTCTTTTTCTAATATATTTGTTTTTGCTAAGCCCAGGATATTAATACTTTTTTTTCTATATAATCTATGATATTTTCTACTTTTCTTCTATTGGTTTTTAAACCATTAATATTGTGAAAACCTAATATTAATAAATTATAATTTTTAGATATTCTGTATATAATTTGCTTCTTTTTTCTTCTCTGTCTCCTTTTATTTTTCTGGGCTGCTTTCTTTTCTTCTTCAGCCTTTCTTTTGACTTCAACCTTATTGCCTTTTAAAAGTGTCTTGTGATTCTTTCTCTACTTCTTGGGTTTTATTCTAGGTTTTCTAGCCTTCTTAAAAACTCTATTAGTATTATTTCTATGCTTTGTAGGTTTGCTTCTTCTTTGTTTTTCTTTTCTCAAGGCTTTTCTTTTTTGCTATAACCTGCTCTTGATGTTTTTGATTCTTCTTTTCTTGTAGTTTCTTTATAATATTCTCCTCTGAATTCTTGTTTCTTGTTATATTCTTGTTCTTTCTTTTCTCTTGTTTTATTTCTTTCTTTTTCTATTTTTTCTCTTTGGCTTGATTCTTCTAGCTCACTTGTACTGTTTTCTTCTCTTGAATAGATATAATATAAACAGACAGAGAATAGAAAGAAAAGATAATAAAGAAAGAAACAAAAAGCATAAACTTTATAATAACAAATGACTACTGTTTTATCTGATGCAGAGTAATCACAGTCCTTAATATATGAAAAAGAAGCATGAGAAGAACAAAAAAAATAAACAAAACAAGAGTCAATATAGATCTTGAAAAAACAAGCAAAGAAGACTGGAAAGAGTACAAGGTAAACTAGATAAGGAGATTAGCAAGAAATTAAAAGACAAAGAAAAAAAAGAAAGAAAGAAACAAGATAGAAAAAAATCTGAAAAGAGAATTAGCAAGAAGCAAAGAAGATAAAGAAAAACAAATAGAAAACCTGTAGGATATTATAGAATTAAGTATCAGAAAGGTAGCAAGCTTAACCCTCCCAAAGAAGACAAAAATACCAGAAATTGAGAGAAGAGATACACTATTAGAAGATTTAGTTAAACAAAAAAAAGATATATAGAAGCTCAAAAAATAGTATTGCAGAATCAAGAAAAACAGAAGGCTAGAAAAAGGCAAAAAGACAGTAAAAGAAGTATAAAGTCTAATAGATAGAATATGAATAAGATAAAAGCTAGAAAAGAGTAAAAGTGAAGAAGAAATACTTACAAGCTGGGAGGAAAAACAAGAAGAAATCATATACAAAGAATTAGAAATCTGGTAAAAAATATTATATAAAGACTAGAAAAGAAGAAGAGAAAAAACAGAAAAAGAAGAAATTCAAGACTATATAGAAGCAAGATACAGAATGATTATTATAGACCAAAAAAGAATAATCAACAATCTACTCAAAAAATTATATCCAAGTATCAAGATAGACCAAATATTTAAAGAAAAAAATAAAAAAGAAGAACTTCTAACAGAGGAAGAAGAAATACTAAAAGAAGTAAAACACACTTCGAGAGGCAGTTTAGAAAATAAAAGATAAACCCTGGAAAGATAAATGAAAATTAAAAAGAAGTATATAGACTAATCAAAAAGATAAATACAGAAAACTACAAAGACTTTGAGCAAGAAGTAACAAAAGAAAAATAGAAAAAAACCCTGAGATATATAAAGAACAAATCAGCACCAGAGCTCACAGAAATTATATACTTTCTACTCAAAGAGGCAAAAAAAAAAGCAAAAGAATTATTTAAAAACTTGACAAATATTTGTTTAGCAGAAGAATATATGTCTAAAAAATAGAAGCTAGATATGCTTTACCCAATATCTAAAAGAGAAAACAGATATTACAATTTGAACAATATAAAACTAATCCTGCTATTAAAGATATTCTGCAAAACAGTAATCAGAGTTCTGAACAATATACTGAGCTGAATATTATGAAAAAAAGAGATTCTAAAAGAAAGAAACTTCGCAGGTTTACCAAAAAAAGGAATAGTAGTACCAATATATTTAATCAACTACCTATTAGAAGATACAAAAGAGCAAATAAAAAAATCTAGTTACTTTTTCAGAATATGAAGAAGGTTTTTGACTCAGTCAGTATAGAGATACTAAAAATAGTACTAGAAAGGATCAAGTTGCTTTAAGCCACAAAAAGCTTTATTCTATAGCTTTACTATAAAAAAGAAATAAAGATTATAACAAATATAGAAATCACAGAAATATTTGTTGCAAAGAATAGTATAAACTAGCGATATAAACTTAATTAAATTTGAATACAAAAATAAATTAATTTACAAAAATATTATAGTTTTACAATTTATAAAGATTGCATGATATTATAATTCAATTTAGAATTATGAAAGCAAAAATTAAATTTGGAAGTATAAAAACAAAATTAAATTTAGAATTGTTAAAACAAAAATGTATACATGTATATATGTACGTACGTACGTGATAATTTATAATGCATCATATTGATATAATAGCATAATGATAGCAATAATAATACGTAACATTGACTATTTTCATTTCAAATTAATTTCTTAATATGATTGATGAATCGACTCTTGCAAGTTCATCTTCAAATATGTCAAACCAATTATCTTCAACTGAGGCTGATATGTTTCCAGAAGAACAAAATAGAACATTAAAACAGAAAAATGCAGGCCGGCCAAGAGAAAAAATTTGGGATTATTATGTAACAAGTAATAATCATAGTGCAACTTGTCAATATTGTTCAAAGAATTGGAGTTATGGCCATCCTACAAAAATAGAAGCTCATCTTGCGAATATTTGTCCCGAAGCTTCTAAAGACATAAAAGAATATTGGCAAGAATTACTTTCTGATAAAATTATTAGTTATAAGCGAACAAAAGACTCAAATCAAAAACAATTAGATCAGATTATTTACCATTGCATAAGCAAAATGAAATTGATATAGCCGTTTTAAAGGCATGGGTTATGACGGGTATATCCTTCGATATTATTAGTAATCTATTTATGGTTGATTTATTTAAGTACCTTAATTCAGTATATGTTTTGCCTAGCCGTATAACCCTTTCTAATAGATTACTCGAACAAGAAACTGCAAAAATCAATTTAAAAGTTGATGCAGAATTAGAAAAATGCAAGTTTTTAACACTTGCTCTCGATAAATGGTCATCACCAAGTGGAAATTCAATTTATAATTACATGATATCAACTACAGATCGGCGTAAATATCTTATTACACTTAAGGATTATTCAAAAATATCCCAAACGGGAGTATATATCGCCAATGAAATCGAAACCATTATTGTAAATATAGAAGTAAAGAAATTTGCTGGAATTGTAACTGACGGTGGTAGTAATATTAGAGTTGCACGACAAATAATTAATCAAAAGTATCCACATATTTTAAGCATTCGATGCGTAGCACATTCATTAAATCTCATCACTACGGATTTAGTAAAAATTAAGTCAATTAGAATTTTTATTTCTCAATGCAATGAAATTGTAGGATTTTTTAACAAAAATCATTGTGCAAATGCTATATTAAAAGAAGGATTAATGAATTTACAAATTAAAAGTGGCAGTTTAAAGACATATAGTAAAACCCAATAGTGTTCCCTTTGGAATACAACTGATTCATTACTACGTTCACGTCCAATATTTGATTGGGTAAATTAATCTTATATAATTATTATTATTATATGAGTGCAGGCAAGAAACAATGTATATTCTAAAAGTATATTATTATAAAATCTATAATCACCTATTTTTAGAATATACATTTTCTCTTGCCTGCATTTATATATATATAAATATTTAATACATATATATATTAATAATATTCCATTATTTTATTCAATTATAAAATATAGATTAAACGTGAACATTCTGATTTATTAACCAATAAAAACATATCAAATTATCTTGAAAATGAAGAATTATTTCGAATGTGCAAAATAGTATCAGAGATTTTTAAACCGATCAAGGAGGCTATTAATATGGTAGAATCAAAAACTGCAACAATAGCTGATTGTTTCGTTGAATATATAAAATTGGCTATTGCAATTAATCAAATACCTAATGAAAATGTTCTAAAAAATAATATCATTAACATATTCAATCGTCGATATAATGAGTTTGACCGTGATGCTTATTTACTTGGATACTTTTTATATCCTGGTTATCATAGTTTAGGATTAAAACAAGGATCATTTGGATAAATTTGTGAAATTGCGGCTAAGTATTAGAAAGCTTTGGGAAATGATAAGTATTTATGTTCAAATCTATTAGCTGATCTTAGAAAATATAAGCGAAATAAAGATCTTTTTGATATAGAATATAAAAAAAAAAGTGAAACTTCTCTTAATTGGTGGCTTATATTTGATGAAGAAGAGCAGCCTTTAATTGAACTCGCAATTAAATTATTTTCAATAATGTCTTCTTAGGCAGGATGTGAAAGAAACTTTTCTATGTTGGGGTGGTTTTATAGAAATAATCGACACAGACTTGACATTCATCATATTGAATCAATGGTAAAAATTTGATCTTATTATTTAACGCATATTAAAAAAGAATTGGTTTACTATGGAAAAGACTTAACTCAACAAGAATTAAGAGATTCAGTCAACAATTTTATTTTTTCTGATATCGATGAACATTTACTTGATTCAAATCAAGAATACCCACTCTTAAATAATCAAGAAATCACTTTATCGGAAATTGTTGAACAGGCAAATAATACTCTTACAATTTCAGATATTATTGATCTTACCAAATTATCACTTGAAACTGACGATCAATTGAGAATGAATATGTTCGCCAACAATTATATAAAACACCCAAATTTGCTTGGGAATATGAATTATAATACAGAAGATTTAATAAATAGAATGTTCAGTGAACATGATTTATAATTAGATAGTAAAATTTATAGTGATGCTAATAATATGTGATATATTTAATGAATTTATAAAGTAATAGCGTTAGATCACGTTAGTTTGATGTAAGGATCTTGAATTGTAACAGACAGTACATATACACATATATACATAAACAACATTAATGATATATGTAATTTATAATGCTAAAATTATTTATCATAGTTTATAATACTTTCAGCATAAATAATGCAAAAATTATTTTCTAATTTTTGCGATAAATCTTGCAATTAAATACGTTAAAATATATTTGTTTTTGATTTTAGTATTTATAATACAAAATCAATTTAATTAAGTTTACATTGCTAGTATAGACTAAAGAGAAGTCATATCACCCTTGTATAAAAAATATTCTATGACCTTCTACTGGTAGCAATTTAAAAAAGAAAGAAAGCAGGGTACTAAATAGTAGTAAAATGGTCAAAAGCAATACAATTAAGTAGCAAAGCCTCAAAATAGAGATAATAGTATATACAGATGATACAATGTATATAGCAAGCTCTAAAAAAGATCTAGAGAAAACAATTGAGATCGTGAAAGAATTTTACAAAATTAATAATATAAAAATCAACTTGAAAAAATCTGAGCTGTTAGTTATTAAGCCAAAAAAGAATACAAGAAAGATATCATGAAAATTAAATTCAGTCTTAACAAAGAAAAGGTGATAGAAAAGAAAGAAAAAGATCTAACAAAATTCTTAGGTATATGGGGTGTTATCTATTAAAACAGCCCTTTTTTACATAAATTTTATTTTGAGATAATTGAGTTTAATCATTTGT